ACACACACATACAGCATATATTTTGAATAAATGTACATGTATATATTTATATTAATATAATTTATATCATATATAAATATATTTAATATATAAACGTGTGTGTATTTATATATACATAATAAATATACACAGCACACACACATATACTATGTAAACAAAAACTTTTATTTTGGATGCAATTAATTACGATTAATCGTTTGACAGCACTCATATAAATTCAATTTCACATTTGCAAACTCTTTATAATTATTAAAAAGCTGTTACTGTCCTTAGTTCATGGCGATCTCACAAACTTCCACTTTAATGAGTGACGCTCTCTACACTGCACACTCAGTCTGTTATTACATCATATTATGGCAAAAGACGCATTGCGCTGCGAACCATAAACACAGCGCCACGTTTATGTGCAGAACTGGGATCGCTTTCGTAGTCTTTTGAATGGATAAAATATAGAAATCACTTTAATTTCCAAATAAACCTAACCAGCTTTCGAACTTCACTCCCCGGACTCCGTCATGTCCAGCCCTGCTTACATCCGAGAGCGCTGGTTTCTGCGTCTTCCTGGTCTGTGTTTCTGATCTAGGGATTCTAGACTCATTCAGGAGATGCGTGATAGCGCCCCCTAGCGTATAACAGCGAGAACAGCAGGGAAAGAGTTAAAGATAAAGCTTCCTTTAGAAAGAAAAGTCTTCTGGGTCAGGAACTCAAGTACATCACAGCAGCTTGAGAAACAGAGACTCTGACCTTCAGTAAACACACAGGTGCGTTCTGGCTCGGACATCTGATTTTATTAGCCATTATTCAAATGCTAACATTCAGCGTTCATATTTGGCTCTGCTTGAGATCCAGTCGTCCTTTCCACCATTGGTCCAGCAGTGATCGCTAGCATGCTAATGCTGGTTAAAGGGATAGTTCACCCAAATATGAACATTCTGTCATTTTCTGGTGAACTGTCCCTTTAACCATGGCAAGCGTTTGAACAGCAGTGCATATATGTGGTATTAAATGCATTCAGTTGGCTATATTCTCTCTATACAGTGAGTGGCGCTGGCTCATTCGTCTCGGCGTCTGATGCTGCGTCGTGTTCGCTGGTGCTCCGCTCCTCCCGAAGATGCCTGAACTCCTGCCAAACACAAAAGAATCAATGCAGAGTCACTCAGAAGACGAGCGGATGAAAGCGGTCGGGCTCAGACCTTCAGGACGCTGTAGTTTGAGGTTCTGGCCACGTAACTCTTCCAGGCATCTGCTGCGATCTCTCGCTGCTTATGAGTGAAGCGGATCTGGAACACAGTCACAGCGGTCAGTCGGTCGCTGCGGTCTCGTACAGAACGTACAGCCGCCGGGAAGCTTTACCTCTGAATACAGCCGCTGCTCCTTCTGCAGCTCCTGCTGCTGCCGCTCGCCCAGAATGCTTTGCTGCAGCGAGCGCACGCTCTCGGCCATGGCTTCACTGACCTGCAGCACACTCTTCAGCGCCGCTTCATCCGACGGAACGACCGCCGCTGCCTCACTCCACAGCTCCTGCACAACCTCACACAGCTGTGAGGAACACCGATTCGCTTCAGAAACACGCTTTGTTCTGCTGGATAAAAGCCTCTTCACATCCTAATCGCAAGCACTACGTTACGTGCTCAAAATGTTTTTATTAGTGCTGTCAAAATTAGTGCGTTAAAGAAGTAGTTCACTTCCAGAACAAAAATTTACAGATAATGGACTCACCCCCTCATCCAAGATGTTCATGTCTTTCTTTCTTCAGTCGTAAAGAAATTATGTTTTTTGAGCAAAACATTTCAGGATTTCTCTCCATATAATGGACTTCTATGGTGCCCCTGAGCTTGAACTTCCAGAATGCAGTTTAAATGCAGCTAAAACAAAATAAAGGCACTGATATATTTTAAGATCAGTCAGAGCAAGTTTCTTTCAGTTGAAACAGTTCAGATTTAGATTTTAGTCTGGGATTAGGTTTAAGCCTTGTCTGTGAAACCGGGGGAAACTTGTGACAGGAACATTTATATATATATATATATGTATTAAAAAAGTACCATTATATGAATATACCATTCAATAAATATACCTATTATTTTTTTGAAAAATTAATACGTTATTCTGCAACAATGCATTAAATTGATCACCAATAACAGTAACGGATTTTACATTGCTTCTATTTCAAATAAATGCTGTTCATTTGAACTTCAAAAAATATTAAAAAATATGCTATTTTCACTATTGCTTTGAAGTAAATAATTGGTATGAAGGGGATAGATCTAGCATGAATGGGAAACTAATATATATATATTTTAGCATGGCAAAGTTTTGGATAGACCGATGCAGATTTTTATGGATATATAAGCATGCTAATATATGCTAAATGAGTGTGATTCATAGGATACTGTACAGAGATGAGTCACCTCTGTAGGGGAGCATAGAAAATCCTCCAGAGACAATGTGCAATCAACATTCTGTCCTCGTCCTTCACATCTTCTTTTGCCTATTGCTGCCGGCTACTACTTTATAATCCGGGATTGCTTACCTGCCAGCCAACCCGTATCTTCACGTCCTACTCACTGACCGGATAAAGTCTTATACAGTTTTTCACATGTGTACTCTTTCAATTATTTATTTATTTAGCTGTTTAATGTATGCTCACAAAAGCTGCATTTATGTGATTAAAATACAGTAAAAACCGTAATAATGTGAAATATTGTTACAATTTAAAATAGCTATTTTCTATTGCAATATATTTTAAAATGTAATTTCGTCCGGTGATGCAAAGCTGAATTTCCAGCATCATTACTGCAGTCGTCAGTGCCGCATGATCCTTCAGAAATCAGTATAGTATGCTGATTTGCTGCTCGATTTCTTATGATCAATGTTGAAAACATATGTGCTGCTTCATATTTTTGAGGAAACTGTGATATAAATGCCTTTATTTAAAGAGTTTCCTCTTTTGTTCCAGAACAAAAATGTACAGATAATGTACTCACCCCCTTGTCATCCAAGATGTTCAAGTCTTTCTTGCTTCAGTCGTAAAGAAATTGTGTTTTTTGAGGAAAACATTTCAGGATTTCTCTCCATATAATGGACTTCTATGGTGCCCCTGAGTTTGAGCTTCCAAAATGCAGTTTAAATCCAGCTTCAAAGAGCTCTAAACGATCCCAGCCGAGGAAGAAGGGTCTTATCTAGCGAAACGATCGGTTATTTTCTAAAAAATTTACAATTTATATACTTTTTAACCTCGAACGCTCGTCTTGTCTAGCTCTGCGTGAACTCTGTGCATTCCGGTTCATGAC